AGGGAAAGAAATTTTATCAACCCCAAGATCCTCCCCCTTATGCTTTTTAGGATATAGAAACAAATGGAAAATCAAGTATTAGAGATACAGTCTTAATATTTTTGTGTATTGTTGTTTGCAATGAGCGCAGTTTCATCAGCAGAAAAACTGCTGGACCAAGAGTCGGGCCAAGCAGAAACAGTTTGCGAGCCAACGACGGTCAATTCATCAGCCCCTCCTTCGGCTGACGGCGTTGAACTCGGGGCCGACCCGAGAGAAGGGGAAGAAGCTTCTGAAGATGGCAAAATTTCGACGCAAATGGAGAATGTGAAGGCACTTTTGTTAGAGCGTAGCGAAAACTACGGAATTCCGCAGCTGGAGAGGCTCTACACAAGAATCATGAAGGGTGTTTTGGAGATAAAGGACAAAGGGTTTGGTCGTGATGATGATCCCAAGTATTCAATTTTGAGATTTTTGTCGGAATTTGCTCAGAATCTGGCAAATTTCTGAATCTTTTTAACTCGTAACAACAGAAGGATTATTAGGTTTGTTTTTGAAGAACAAAAGAAAGGAGCGACGGAGTTTTACGGATTCGTTTTGATTAAAAAACACTAAACCCTAAAATTATCAATGCACACAATGGGAAATCATTGGTTAATTTATTGTGTAATCGCTGGTTGGTCATTAACGAAATCATTGGGAAAAATTGGATATTTCAATGAAATTCTACTGGTGGTTTAATTATTGTTTTTTTTCATCAATTTTTACTTGATACCGAAAAAACTGTGATTGGTTCCAAACTTCCAAACATATTTGCCGAAGTGAGTTAGTATTTCTTCGGTAAATATATTTATTGTTTTCTAGGGACAAACCCAAAAAAACTTTTAATTATTCAATTTACACCAAAAAAATCTTCTATTTAAAATTTATCATAATAAACTATCAACTATTATTTTTCTGTTCAAAATTTATAGATATTTATAATATAATTAAAATAAAAAATATTTTTTTAGTAATTTAGATTTGATTATTTTTTATTAAATTAATATTTGATGGTGTTTATAATAAATTTAAGGTATTTTTTTAAAAATAATTTATATTGATGGTTTTTTTACTCAAATATAATAATTGATGGCTTATTATGATGAATTTTAAGTAGAAGATTTTTTTTTTTTGTGTAAGTTATATAGATAAAAGCTTTTTTTTTATTTGTCCCTTTTTCTATGGTAATGATTAAACAAAAAAGCAAAAAAAAAATTAGTTATATGCGTTAAGTAACATTCTTTTTCTGTTTTAGATTTTTCATACGATGTCTATAAAAAACAAAAGAAACCCTTATTGAAATAATGGATCGAAACGGGGAATAACATGACAAAGATTGGAACTTGCAAACAAACACATAAACACAGACACCAAATCACTTTCAAACACATCCGATGAAGAAACCCCAAACAGTAGGAACATATGCAGAGAAGATGCTCCGTTACTTGCGCCTCAATCTATCTACTCCATGACAAAACCAAACCACGAGTTTATATAACAACAGAATCTAAACGCAAAAATTAAACCCTAACTGAGAGAAGACGTATTCATTCTCTCTCCTCTTCAGTTGGTAAAGACAGCGAGACGGAGTTGGCCTTCCCCCTAAACGACCAGAGCTCGAGCCCATCCCCTTCCTCGAACCTGTTCGCTTCTGCAAGCCTGTTCCAGTTCTTTTGCAGCGAGTAATTGGAAGAAAACTCGACATCGGGTCTATCACCTTCACCTGGAAGCTGGCGTACTTGTTCTTGTTGTTCTTGCTCTCTTCGTACATTACGTCTATCGATCTCCGTTCATCGTCCATCAAGAAGTCTTCGTCCTTGATTGTAGTGAAAGGGATCAAGAGATGAGAAAGGTCTTTGTTCACGTCGCTTTTTGTCACGGTCTTTTCTGTAACTAGCCTGGGGTCCTGCCCGTTCATCCTTGGCATTGCCTCTGCGATCCAAGTAGGTGATTCTCTCACGACCCTTTGAGCAGCAGGGAGAGCGAGGGGGGAGTCGTCGGCGACTATCTCCATCAGAGTAGTAGGGGGAGCGGGGGGTCGTCGACGACTATCTCCATCGGGGCCTATTCTTCTTCGGCGGTGGTAATGTCGAAGTCCAGAGAATGAGAAGGACTCTCCACGAGAGTCGCCATCTTCTGTCTCTTGTTGTTATTCCTCTCCTCCTCTGATCATGGAGGCGCTTGCTGGGATTGGAGACAGAAGAAGGAGACGACAGAAGATGGGCGTCTAGTGGCATGATGAGGTCAGCGAAGTTGGTGCGCCTTCTCCGGGGGCTTCTCTTTCCGGTGGGGACAAAGAACTTCCTGATGTGGTCGAAACAGAGATGCTGAAGGGACCTCTGACGAGGAAGATCACTGTTATCCTCCATTTGAGCAAAAATCCACCAGAAGCTCCATCGCATAGGCAGGTCCGGCGCCGAGAAGATCATGGGATTTATAAAGAAGATGAGGATCGATCGCAACAGCAACATACAACAAGAGGTCTAACCGATACTCCATGACTGCCGAGAGCATATGGATCGGTCAAAGCCTTCAGCTTTGCAGTCTCTGCAGGAAGATGTGGAGAGTGCGTGCAGTTGAGGACGAGTGGGTGCTTCACTTATATAGGTGGTCACTAGTTTCCTTTTCGTTTCTATCTCCGTTTATTTAGATTTTGTAGGATTCGCCTTTCGAATTATTGTTGATCTCCTTTATCGTTGATCCGGCGTGTAAATCTTGCGTGTAAATCTGATAAGGACAAGTGCACTTAACTTCTACATAATTACTATTTTACCCCTCCATCGTTTCCATTTTTTGAGAGCTTCTTTTTTTTACAGGTGCTTTCCTTTTTTAATTTATTTATTAATTTCTCCGAGAGTAAAACTGTGAATGAAAACGGAAACTTGTAAAACTTGATCTGTTTTAATCCGGATTAATTGATTAAGATAAAAACAATATACGGATATGGAGAGTAAGTTGTTATCTCGCAGTTGATTAATCCAGATTAATTGATTAAGATAAAAACAATATACGTACATGGAGAATAAATTGTTTTCTTGCAGTTGATTAATCTAGATTAATTGATTAAGATAAAAACAATATACGGACATGGAGAGTAAGATGTTATCTCGTTGTTGATTAATCCAGATTAATTGATTAAGATAAAAACAATATACAGACATAGAGAGTTAGTTGTTATTTCGTTGTTGATTAATTCGGATTAATTGATTAAAATAAAAAAAATATACGGACATGGAGAGTAAGTTGTTATCTCGCTGTTGATTAATTCGAATTAATTGATTAAGATAAAAACAATATACAGACATGGAGAGTAAGTTGTTATCTCGATGTTGATTAATCCGGATTAATTGATTAAGATAAAAACAATATACGGACATGGAGAGTAAGTTGTTATCTCGCTATTGATTAATCCGGATTAATTGATTAAAATAAAAACAATATACGGACATGAAGAGTAACTTGTTATCTCGTTGTTGATTAATCCGGATTAATTGATTAAGATAAAAACAATATACGGACATGGAGAGTAAGTTGTTATATCGCAGATGATTAATCTGGATTAATTGATTAAGATAAATACAATATACGGACATGGAGAGTATGTTGTTATCTCGTAATTGATTAATCCGGATTAATTAATTAAGATAAAAACAATATACGGGCATGGAGAGTAAGTTGTTATCTCGCAATTGATTAATCCAAATTAATTAATTAAGATAAAAACAATATACATATATGGAGAATAAGTTGTTATTTCGCTGTTGATTAATCCGGATTAATTGATTAAGATAAAAACAATATACGTACATGGAGAGTAAGTTGTTATCTCGTTGTTGATTAATCCAGATTAATTGATTAAGATAAAAACAATATACGGACATGGAGAGTAAGTTGTTATATCGCTATTGATTAATCCGGATAAATTGAAATTGCAAGAGCACATTTCTCGTAAATTACTATTTTATCCCTCATCGAAACAAGTTGTTTATCAACAAAAATTCGAATCGGAGAGAACTAAAATATATACAACTGTCAACTGAACTCTTCTTATATTTTTTATCAAAATAAAAATCTAAAAACAGATAAAGATATCAAGAGTTCTCGTGATAAAGATTTATAAATCTAATTTTGATTTAATTGTTAATTCAAATCAAAACTCTTATCACTTCATACTTCGGTGTCTGCCACTCTATCTGAAGGATTTAAAAATAAAAAAAATTAATCTTTAAAGGAAAAAAAAAAGAAAAAGAAAATTCTAGCAGCAGCGATTATTCTAAAAATATAATTAATCTCTTTAATTCAAATTAATTAAAACAAAAACAACACGTGTTGAACGAATAGGAAATGGAAAGCAAGTTGTTAATTCGGAATCAATGCTCCCGCTATGTATCTGAAGGAAAAAAGGAAAATCTAAAAAATGGTTCAACTGTAAAAAAGTAAAAAATTAGTCGCTACTTGGCACTTAATTGAAAGAAAAAAGAAAAATTTTAAAAAATGGTTAATCTAAAAAAAATTAAAAGAAAAGGAAATCAAGATCGATTCCAAGAAATGGAAAATTTTATATGTTCAATTGTCAAAAAAACATGTTCTTGGAAAATAGTTTCTTATATATAAAACAATATACAAATAATAAATAGTTTCTTATATATATATATATATTATGATTTTTAGGAAAAAATATATATCCACATATATATACATATAAATATATAAAATAAATGTATAATTAATTTTGTACTTATGATAATTAATATGTGTATTTGAATATGTATAATTTTTAAAATTTTGAAAAGTATAGGATTTTTTTGGATAAAAAAAAAAGTATAGGGTTTAAATTGCGACGAAAAAAAAGTACATGATTTTTTTTTGGATTATTCCTTAGACATATGTTAAAATTTGAAAAGTTTGGTTTTTATTTGTAAGTTTAAATATAATTGAATATTTAATTTGGAAATTAGATAGTTGAGTATTTAATTTAGAAATTTGGTTAAAGTTCAATATTTAATATGTGAATCTCCCTATTTATAATAATAGATTGGTAAGATAAGCATAGTAGTAACTTATAGCTTTTACATCAAGAGACATTATTGCAACACGTTATTAGAATAAAAACATAATGAAAACGGATAATTAAAAGTGTAGTAATGAACATGCTTATTAACTTCATTCACCTCCTTAAGCATGTTCTATCTTCTTTGTATCTTCAATTCCAATCATTTCACCGAACTCTTCCAACTTGTGATGCGGTAGCGGTTTAGTTAGAATATCTGCACATTGTTCCTCTGTCTTGACATACTCGACTTCAATTTCTCCTTTCTCCACGTATTCTCGAATGAAATGATGCTTGATGTCTATATGCTTCTGTTATGATGTACTGGATTCTTGGTAAGTGCTATCGCCGATTTGTTATCAATTCGTAACACGATCTTATTTGACTGATCGTCTTTGAGTTCCTTTAGCACTCGTCCAAGCCATATTCCCTGGCAAGCTCGTGCAGTCGCCGCAACATACTCTGCTTCACACGATGAGAGTGCAACCACCTTTTGTTTTTGCGATATCCAACTGATAGGACTGGTACCGAGAAAGTGTATGACTCCAGTGACGCTTTTCCGATCATCCAAATCTCTTGCTAGATCACTGTCGCAGTATCCTATTAGTTCGAGTTTCTTTGCCTTGTCTTGCATGAAAGTGCAACCGAGTGTCATCGTTCCTCTCACATAACGAAGGATTTACTTCACCGCGTCCAAATGATTCGTGGTTGGAGATTCCATGAATCTGCTCACAACTCCTACAGAGAATGCTAAATCATGACGATAGTAAGACATTATTGCAACACGTTATTAGAATAAAAACATAATGAAAATGGATAATTAAAAATGTAGTAATGAACACGCTTATTAACTTCAGACATGACATTGCATTGCTCCTCGACCCTCTTGTCTCTGTTCCAACAAGAAAGCGCTCACCTTCTTTCGTTAGACGACCTTCACAAAAGCTTCCTCTCCAATTTTCTTCTTCTTCCCTTGCCGAGTGCAAATGCCGTATGAAGCGCCCTTTGGTGGAATCGAAAGAAGAAGAACCTCTTGATCGATCTTCATCTCCTTCTTCTTCCCTTGCCGAGTGCTGAAGCGTCCATTGGTGGAATCGGAAGAAGAAAAACAGAGCACTCAGTTGAAGAAACGGAAGAAGTACGATTCAGGGTCCACCTCCAAAAGCCCGGTGCCTCCAAGAGAAGCTCCGCTGTGGCTTTTGAACGTGATGAGAGAGATGAACGGCTACGAGCCGAAGCTGGTCATAGAGAAGAACCTCTTCAAGAGCGACATTAACCGAAACCTCGGCCGTCTCGCCATCCCGACGAATCACGTCGTCGAAAAGGATTTCTTGACAGACACGGAGGAGAGGATGATCGACGAGAAGTGCAGGCTCAAGACTAGTGATGTGGACGTGGTGGCGGTTCTCGTGGATCCACTCCTTCGGAAATGGAACGCGGTGTTGAGGAGATGGGACATGGCCAAGGACTCTGGGAACTGCTCTTCGAGTTTCGTCTTCGTCTCCACTTGGAACTCCATCGTGTATGCCAACGGCTTCAAGGAAGGAGACCTGGTCGAGCTCTGGTCGTTCCGGTCTCAAGGCAGACTCTGTTTTGCCTTTGTTCCTGCCAGACGAAGTTCCTTGTGCTCCGGCCAATGCAGCTCTGCTCTCTGATCATGTTTCTTCCTTACATCTTGGAACTGGGTGGATTTTATGATTCTTTTTTTGGTAATGAGATCATGGGTGCGTCTTCCAGCTTTCTCACATCCCACAGAGTCAACGGGTGCGTCTTCAGAAGATCTCATCTTGCGAATACCCTCAAGCACTTTTTCCCAGTTATCAGGTGGTTGACCTAGATAAGATCAATACATCATACATATATTGCAATTATTGCAGAATTCAGATGAAACATCCACAAGAAAAAATCTATAAAAAAATGTCACTAAGGTTGCTGGTTTATGATAAGCTACCGGCTGTTCTGATCGAGGACTTGTTGGTGGTACTTCTCATCGATTCTATATCTGGGTTAGGCTTTAACTTCCCTGCAAAACCAGTCCACATAACAAAAATGTTATGTTGAAGGGAAAAAAAAAAAAAAAAGCATTTTCAATACCTTTCCACGTATTATCATTATGAAAGAATCTATCGATTTGGTTATAAATGCACAACATATCAAAACGTTTCAAATGTTGCCCGAGTTGCAGTTAAACGATCAAATAAGAACTAAAGAAAACATAGGTAAGGAACGATTTAAAAGAGTTATTGCACAGGCACAGTGACTAAATATCCATCAGAAGCTTGATTTCATCTAAAATCCATGATGAACATGACATAATGCTATGAATATTGTTTCTGCCCTTCACTATTCATGATTGAGGATTTGGTTTAGAAGAGAACATCATTGAAATCCACCTGCTATGCGTAACTTCTTAAACAACTATATATATCTGAAGGCTTCGTATCATATAATAAGCACAAATGTAATTACGTACAGTGGGACTTACCAGATGAGACAGATCCATTGGTCTTTTTGTAAGCAAACTCTTCTATGTCAGGTAACCCACACATCTCCTGCGTTTTTTTGAAAAAAAGAGGGACCGGGAAGATAATAAACAAACTCGCAACAAATCAACTATGCAAGAGGTTTAAAAGCAAAAAAAATCACTGCAATATGAAGTCAAGGATCTTCTATCTGGACTAATTTTTAACTTTGCAAGAGAAACAAAACGAAATGGAAGAATCCAGGTGGTGAACTTACAAAATAAAGGAAAGAAAGATAAACCGAGCAAATACAAAGAACAAAAGGCAGCACACAAGAAAATAAAGAATGCTGTCATGAGGATCACAAAACCTCAAGTTACAGAGTATCATCATATACTCAAATGAAACATGATCCACGCTCTGGCTAGATTTACCGACACACCCATTACCCTGTCGTGCTTATAGAACAAGTGAACTGCTAATCAAGATTTGTCTCATTTGCTGAAATTGACCAGAACAAGGTAAGGGAAGAAAATCAGCAAGCATTTCTCAATAATTCGTCATGCTTCAACCCTTTTGGCTCAGACAAGCTTCAAATTCAAAGCATTTCGATCACTGGCATAAACCTGGTTGAATTAAGCTCGGTCCCATCGAATTTTCCCAAAAGTTGCACACTTTCACAGAAATGCACTTTCCACAACCCTATTCTAAGAAATGTCGGAACCGACCGAAGAAGCAAACTCGCAGTTTCATTTACAAATGCAATAGAAGCCGAATCTTTTTCCAGGAAAAAGAGAGAAGTTTACTTTCTGGGCATGAATTTGTTCGCCGGACTCTTTCACTACAGGCTCCAGAGGTTGCTGTTTCGGCCTTTTCTTCCGCGCATAAACCCTAATCTCCGACACAGAAGCAACGGCCGCTGGTTCCGACACCAAAATCGCCATCGTAGAAGAAATCAAAACTCAAGCAGCGAAGCAACCAGAGTAATACGAAGACCCCCGTAAATTTTGGGTTTGGGGGGGGGGGGGGGGGGGGAGAGAGAGAACCTGGGTCTGAAGCGGAACCAGAAATCCGGCTTGTCGGAGAAATGGATTTGCGAGAAGAAGCAGTTCCGTACATTTGGCGCTTCATGGCTTGAAAGATTCGGGAGGCAATGGGAGGAGTCGAAGCGGCGAGCATCAACATTGGCTTTCTTCTGTCGATTACTATATTTTCTTCAGAATTCGAATCATGTATCAGAAATGCAAAACTTTCAATAATAACAATAATTTAATTTTTTAATCAGGATTAATTAAATAAAAACAAGACGCCCTGAACAAATACGAAATGGAAACTATCTTGTTATTCGCTCCTGTATTGTATCTGAAGGAGAAAAAAGGAAAATTTAAGAAATGGTTAATCTGTAAAAAGGTAAAAACGAGTTGCGAATTGGCAGTTAATACTCTCGTTACTCTACCTGAAAGAAAAAAAGGAAAATTTAAAAAAATGGTTAATTTAAAAAAAAAAGGAAATCAAGATCGATTCCAAGAAATGGAAAATTGCTGATACCATATCTCTCTCCATATACATATATATATATAGATAGATGCGTTAGTGTCATTTCATCCCCAAGCGATTCTCTGTCTCTCTCGCTTTCTCTGCAGAGCTTTGAATCGCCATCAGTGTTCTTGTGTGTTGTCCGAAAGAAGAGGAGATGTGGAGTAACTTGTTTCTCTTGGCCGAAGTCGCCAGCTTGGAGTACGATCGACTCCACTCTGCTCTCTCTGAAGCAAAAGCCGCCATTGAAGGGCCTGTCGATGAACCCAGACAGGACACTGCATCGCTCCTCGGCCCTCTTGTCTCTGTTCCAACAAGAAAGCGCTCACCTTCTTTCGTTAGACGACCTTCACAAAAACTTCCTCTCCGATTTTCTTCTTCTTCCCTTGCCGAGTGCAAACGCCGTATGAAGCGCCCTTTGGTGGAATCGGAAGAAGAAGAACCTCTTGACCGATCTTCTTCTTCTTCTCCTTCCCTTGCCGAGTGCAAACGCCGTATGAAGCGTCCATTGGTGGAATCGGAAGAAGAAAAACAGAGCACTCAGTTGAAGAAACGGAAGAAGTACGATTCAGGGTCCACCTCCAAAAGCCCGGTGCCTCCAAGAGAAGCTCCGCTGTGGCTTTTGAACATGATGAGAGAGATGAACGGCTACGAGCCGAAACTGGTCATAGAGAAGACCCTCTTCAAGTCGGACATTAACCGAACCCTCGGCCGTCTCGCCATGCCGACGAACCACGTCGTCGAAAAGGATTTCTTGACGGCCACGGAGGAGAGGATGATCGACGAGAAGTGCAGGCTCAAGACTAGTGATGTGGACGTGGTGGCGGTTCTCGTGGATCCACTCCATCGGAAATGGAATGTGGTGTTGAGGAGATGGGACATGGCCAAGGACTCTGGGAACTGCTCTTCGATTTTCGTCTTTGTCAAACTTCCTCTCCGATTTTCTTCTTCTTCCCTTGCCGAGTGCAAACGCCGTATGAAGCGCCCTTTGGTGGAATCGGAAGAAGAAGAACCTCTTGACCGATCTTCTTCTTCTTCTCCTTCCCTTGCCGAGTGCAAACGCCGTATGAAGCGTCCATTGGTGGAATCGGAAGAAGAAAAACAGAGCACTCAGTTGAAGAAACGGAAGAAGTACGATTCAGGGTCCACCTCCAAAAGCCCGGTGCCTCCAAGAGAAGCTCCGCTGTGGCTTTTGAACATGATGAGAGAGATGAACGGCTACGAGCCGAAACTGGTCATAGAGAAGAACCTCTTCAAGTCGGACATTAACCGAAACCTCGGCCGTCTCGCCATGCCGACGAACCACGTCGTCGAAAAGGATTTCTTGACGGCCACGGAGGAGAGGATGATCGACGAGAAGTGCAGGCTCAAGACTAGTGATGTGGACGTGGTGGCGGGTCTCGTGGATCCACTCCATCGGAAATGGAATGTGGTGTTGAGGAGATGGGACATGGCCAAGGACTCTGGGAACTGCTCTTCGATTTTCGTCTTTGTCTCTACTTGGAACTCCATCGTGGATGCCAACGGCTTCAAAGAAGGAGACCCGATCGAGCTCTGGTCGTTCCGGTCTCAAGGCAGACTCTGTTTTGCCTTTGTTCCTCCCAGACGAAGTTCCTTGTGCTCCGGCCAATGCAGCTCTGCTCTCTGATCATGTTTCTTCCTTACATCTTGGAACTGGGCGGATTTTATGATTCTTTTTTTGGGTAATGAGATCATGGGTTGGTTTCCGTTGTCTTGTTAGATTTTGATTTTGGATGCAACTGACAATGTAATAAAGCGAAATGATTGAAACACGTAGTAGTTTTTCTCTTGTCTTTTTCAGACATCAACCTTTGTTCTCTCTCTGCTTTCTGTTCAGTGCCATAATCAGACTGCAATCAATGCCAAACGAATCCGAAACTCAATTAAAATCGTAGACAGTAATTCCTAATTTACAGTCATCTATTTTGTATGAAATCTCTCTTGAATGGTTTTCCCAATAGTCATCTTGAGATTCAAATTGGAAACAAAAAAGGAAAAAACACACACTAAAACATATAACTTAACCCTTTTCTTTGAATTTGTTTTACTAACAAATAGTTATTTTCTGGTAGAAAAGGTGATAATTCTGAATGTATATTAGGAGTTCTCTCGTGATCAACTTAGAAACTGCAGAATTCGAAACCTAGTTTGAAGAAAAAACATTACAATCTCGTAAGATTAAGGTCAATAACCGATTTTCTAATTGTAAAGTTATTTACTCTTTATGGGTCAGTAAATTATAACTAATTCAAACGCTAGATAGATCTCTTCCTTCTATTGGTTAATTTAGTTACCTCCATTTCTATTTGATAGTAATTAACTCGTATTTATTTTTTTTATTGATCACGAGTTGTTCTAACTCACGTTAAAATATGAATCAAAGATTACTATATTTTCAAGGTAAGGTCCAGAAAATAACAAAGATATTGAATCATCTACACCGATCTTTGACACTAATTAGCATTTAGTTTTAATTTTTATATGTTTGTCTGTTTAAGAATTTAGTAATTATACAGTAAATATATTTATTTTTTTCTATGGTAATGACTGAATACAAAAGCAAAAATATAGCAGTTATTATGTATCTCTGCTTTATACCTTTTTATAAGATGTCCTATGAAAATACAATAATCATAATTAAAAAATCCAAATATAAATTCAGTATGAGAACCAAAACCAAACTGAACCGGCAGTGAACCGGGAGCGTAATCGGTTTTTGGTCTTCTACCCCGTGAAACTGAAACCGTGTCGTTTGGTTTTCTTGGATTCTAATATTTTGGTCCAAAACTTTGAAAACCATTAATATAAGTCAGAATTCAATATATAAAATATAATGAAGACCAAATTAACCCTGCCAAAGTTATTAATTACAATTTGAATAAACATGGTGATGAAGAACACAAGTGATATTCGGAGTCATCTTAGTTACTCACAACATGTTTTTCGTAGACCGTTATGGCACGGTCGGAGATTCCCCTAACAAATTCCCCAAGACAATAAAATATAGACTCATCAATAATAACTCAATTTCATTAATTAATATTATTATTCTTAATAAAATCTACAATTCAACAAAGTCGTTTCTTGCCTTGTGTATACTGCCATTACATCGAATGTTTATTATCATAAGCTATCATATATCATGTATACATCCACATTATACATATCTTAGTAAAAGAACCAAAGAATTAAGAACAGATCAATAATAATAAGACCATCTAGGCTCGATGCAACGGCTCAACCGTGGCATTGGCCCGAACCCTTGGGAATGCCGGTGCAACCGTTGCCACCGGACGGTGGGGTCGGAGCCCTTTGGAGCATCTGGAACAGGAACCGGATCTCATCGGTGGCTAGGAACGGCCTCGCACCTTCAACTTTATTCAAGCAAATAACAAGAAGGGCAACTAAGAACACTCCGAATACCACTTGTTTCTTCATCATCATGTCTGTTCAAAGTGAATAAACAAGTGGATCTTTGTGTGCTTTGTATGTTTTTTGTTGGGTTTTGCAAATGTTTTGATGGGTCACATTTAATTTGTTAAGGGGCCTATATATATGTGTGCGTGTATACATACATGTTTGTATGTATGTTTGGATGTATGTGTGTAAGATTCAGGGGTCGGGGCATTTGGTCTTCGCGAGATTTTCCTGAGCTTTGACCTATCTTTTAAAGAAATGGGGTTTCAACCAAAATGTTGGAACTGATCAAACAAGTTAAACATGACACGGTTTTGTCCTGAAATCCACGACGTACGTAGTCGTAGCGACGATCTCTCTAAACCGGAAATCATGCGAAAAATCCCCCATAAAACCGAAATGAAAATCCCGGTTACCCTCATTTGGTTTTGGTACGAGATCGAAGGGGGTTGATTTACGGTTCGTAAAGAAGTCAAGGGGCCATGTTTCAAACTCAAAGTGGATTAAGATTCAACCATATAGCGTTGACTGGAATATTTTTAAATAGTCAAAGTCTGATCCCGTCAAAACCACGCATAACTTGGAGAAGCATGCATGGTGGTTTACGTACGTACGTCCATACGTAAAACGCGGGTTGTAAATGTGTAGCGTCATGATCTTTTATGTTAACACTTTGATTATGAAATTTAGGAGTAAAGTTTTGTTTTTTTTTGTAATTTCAAAGAAAATTAGCTAACATAATTAATATTGTTGAAGGAAATTATAATTTTATTTCATATTAATATAAAAATTTGTATTACAGAATTTAAAAGTGTCTATCTAATTTAATCTTTGCATTATGAAGTTAACGGAATTCAAATAGTTGAGATTTGGTTAATTTAATATACGAAGCAGCCGTTTTTACATATTTTATAATTTGTACATATCTATCTTGTATTTTTTTTTTACATTTTTTTATTTGACTGAAACATAAGTAAAACTTGATCTACACGGTTTGTTTTGTATTGTTGTAGAGTTTTGTCTAATATTAGAATTTGTCTTTTGCACTAAATTTATTACACTAAAATTTTTGTAAGTTCACTAATTTGTCTTTTCGCTTACAATCTTTTAAAATCCATTTACGCGGACAAAATTCAACATTTTTAATATGTTTTTTTATTAATATTAAATTAGTTTATATACAATAATATATGATAACTAGTGAAATTTAACTCCTCTCGTCACAATAATTATAAATTAAAAAACACTAAATGTTAAGTTAATGATGATTAAAGCACCACTTAACTATACGATAATGCTGAAAATGGTTTAATTATCTTCACCTGCTGGCTAAGGCTAGTTTTTTTTGTAAATCGCCTTTGAGCGTCTCCGACATCATCGACGTCTGTTGCGCCGGCGGCGCTGCTTTTCCCACCGTCTATGCCTCCGGTGGACGGGATTTACCCGCGAAACCTCGTTAAAGCCTTTTTGTCTCCCCTGAGACGAACCAAGACCCTACGCCATATCCAACAACTCCACGCTCAGGTCATTGTACATGGCCTCGAAAGAGATGTTCACTTCGGATCCAGTGTCACTAACGCGTATATCGAATTGGGTCGCCTTGCATTCGCTTCCGGGTCCTTCAATCGGATTCCCGCCGAGGAGAGGAATCGCCACTCGTGGAACACAATCCTTTCTGGTTACTCCAAGTTCAAGTGTTATATCGATGTTTTAGTTCTTTACAGTTGTATGAGAAGAAGTTGCGATGATGGGGTTGACAGTTTCAACTTGGTTTTCGCCATCAAAGCTTGCATTGGATTAGGTGACCTAGAAAATGGTAAATCGATTCATGGGTTGGCGAGGAAATTCGGGTTGGAAAGAGATGCTTATGTTGCCCCATCCTTGGTCGAGATGTATGTGCAATCTGGTTCTCTGGAAGATGCACAGAAGATGTTCGATGAAATTCCTGACAGAAACTCAGTTCTTTGGGGCGTTCTGATGAAAGGGTATTTGAAATTCTCAATGGACTCGGAAGTTTTACGTGTGTTTCATCTCATGAGAGACACAGGTTTAGGATTCGATGCTTTTACATTGCAATGTCTGGTTAGGGCTTGTGGGAACGTGTTTGCTGCTAAGGAAGGGAAATCGGTGCATGGTTTATGCGTGAAATGGAGCTGGATAGAATGCAGTGCCTTTTTGCAGGCCTCACTCTTAGATATGTATGTGAAATGTGGCTTGATTGACAATGCCCTCAAATTATTCGAAACAAGTGTTGATCGGAATGTGGTTACATGGTCGACGCTGATTTCTGGGTTCGCAAAAAATGAGAGAGCTTTTGAAGCATTTTCTCTGTTCAGGAAGATGGTGGCAGAATCTATGCGTCCAAATGAATTTACTTCAGCCAACATTCTTGTTTCGTGCTCGAGCTTGGGATCTCTAAGACACGGGAAAAGCGTTCATGGCTACGTGATACGAACTGGGATTGAAATGGATGCTGTAAATTGTACATCTTTTATCGATATGTATGCGCGATGCGGGTGTGTTCCAATGGCTCGAAAGGTTTTTGATATGATGCCGGAAAAAAATGTGATATCTTGGAGTTCGATGATTAATGCTTTCGGGATAAACGGCCTGCTTGAGGAAGCCATTGATTGTTTCGACAGAATGAAGGCAAGAAACCTAGTACCTAACTGTGTAACATTTGTTTCGCTTCTGTCAGCTTGTAGCCATTCAGGAAACGTAGAAGAAGGGTGGAAGCATTTCGAATCTATGACAAGAGACTACGGGATTACACCAGAGGAAGAACATTACGCGTGTATGATAGATTTGCTCGGTCGGGGTGGTAGACTAAGGGAAGCTATGTCGTTTCTCGAGAACATGCCCGTGAAACCTAGAGCTAGTGCTTGGAAAGCTCTTCTTGGGGCTAGTAGAATCCATAAGCAAGTCAGCTTAGCAGAAGAAATAGCCGAGAAGCTCTTGTCCTTGGAACCCGACAACTCGAGTGTCTATGTCTTGCTGTCTAATGTATATGCAGATGCCGGGATGTGGGATATGGTGAACAGTGTGAGAAAGAAAATGGGCATGAAAGGTTATCAGAAGCCTCTGGCTCTGTCTGCTACACGAGTCGGCTAGAAGTTAGAACGGGCTTTTGGCTGTTTCGGCTTCGTAGATCGATCGATGAAAGGGATTGGTAGATGAAAAGCTACTGATTGGAATCGGGTGCGAACTACAAAAATGCTTTTAGGGTTTTGCAGATTCTGCATCTGAGATTGTTGGGTCGGTCTGAGAATGCACACAAGACATTGAAGATGTTGACTTGTTGATCATAACAGAGAAATCTGCAGGATTAAAAATTTTCATCACAAATGCTTTTGGCCATTACTTGGTGTAACTCGAGAACTGCACAATGGGCTTTATTCAAAACATTGCAATAACAGAGATCTCAATGTAATGTAATCGACAAATTACATGTACATATATAAACCCCTGACCGGGTTTCAAGTTTGAAGAACAGAAGAAATGACAAAAAAAACATCCAAGGATATCTTCCCTTCCATGATCTACCCATAAAACTTCAGTCATTCGACAATATTTTTGGGATCGTTGGAAGAAGAGGCGTCACAGGAATCCGAGTGATCATGGTTATGATCATGACCATGATGATGGTGGTCATGGCCGTTATCTTCTTCTTCACTATCGTCCTCATCAAAAGGTTTATCCTTGTGGAAGATGCAACACTTCTTGGAACTCTTCTTCTGCATGAACTCGTTGTCTACTGTACCTTCCTTCCATGTAACCTTCTTCTTCTTCCGATTCAACCGAAGCACCAACGGTGGTTGTGATTGAGCATTAGGGTTTTCTAAGATGACAGTGGTAGTGGCTGAAGATGAAGGCCTGGTCGCTGTGCTCATGGTTCAAGACTGGATTCGATACCTGCATTGGGAAACAACGGTACAACACTGGGTTTGATAATGCTGAAAAAGCAACATGCAAAGCCTAAGCATGGAATCAATCGCATCAATCAAAGAGCAACATTACACATCAATCACATCAACTCAGAGTTCAATCTCTCATTCACAATACCTTGCATGTTCCATTGTCAGTACCATCATTTTTCCAATAGAAAAAATGTGGCTCAAAAAAAAGAACTTTCATATGAAAAAGTAATGAAGCCGTCAAGTAGGACTAATCTTCTATCGATCACCTACCCACAAACTTCGATTCATTACGTTTCCAATCCTCACAGATCTGTGTACGCTTCGAATGTGTGAATCCCGACAGAGTTATCAGACCAAATGCATAAACACGTCAATGGAGATTTCCGGTGGTCCATGTACTCGCAGGAAAACCTCAAACTGAAGACTGACAGGAACAAACTAAAGCCCATGGGGGTAACACTGACCACGAATATAGCGAGACCAGACAATGCATATATTATCACTAGCAACGACAGAGTAAAATCCCATCCGACTAAAATTAAAATCTATGTAACTTCATTTGATGGAAATGCCCAGACCCGGTCGCTATACGCGTAAAATTATCCCCCGACGCCAAAAGCACTTAATCCGAAAAGGTAAAATTTTCCGATCACGATCCATTTCCATCAAATTCCACGCGATCGAGTCAGATTCGGAGATCGCCCAATCTCCGAGAACAAGAGAAACCCTAACCCTAGAAACACAAGCGATGCAAACAAAGAAACAAAGAAAAAGCCATGAGAAGAGAGAAACAAACCTTACAATCGCGATCTCGGAATCTAGTACACGTTCGCCGGAATCACTGTTCAGGCAGCGAGCGAGAGAGGGAAGAAGGAGAAGAACGAGAGATTCGCCTTGAGGAGGAGAGCTCTCCTCGACTTGTTTAAAAAAAAAGGGGGGGAGAAAGACTCTGTGCGAGAGAGAGTCTCTTGACTCTACAAATCTAGTCAGAGAGAACCCCACAAGTTTGGTTCCGTTGCAACTGTTTCTATTTCTCCTATTCTCTGTTGTAAGCGAAACCCAAAATAACAAACATTAAAAAAAATACTCGTGGCGTTAAACCTCAATATCATGAACGTACTTTATGTAATAACAAACCCGTAACTTTAGCTAGCGTATATTAATATGATTAAACACAAACCACCAAGAACAAAGCCTGCAAAATAAAGAAAATGGGTTTGTGCTCATCGTATAGATATACATACATTAGCTCATGTTTACGTGCATAACGAAGGTCTTTGGTGCCTTGATCTGCAGATAGAATTGAGCTAAATAAGCAGACTTCATTACAAAATGGGTCACGACCATCTTTAGTGTCGTAGCTTTCTTCCATGGCGGAATAATTCGTTACAAGAACTGCCCGTCTAGAGGTTCATCGTATTCGTAGGTTTCCCGAAGGCAAAAGCCTCAAACTTTTGCAAGCCTCCATGGTTTCTTCTGTGATATCAAGAAACTGGAGCCATTCCTTGCTTGTTTTCTTCTTCCAGACGGGCCCGAATGGCTTCAGGGGATGCCGTCTTATTTATGCTGCGGAAGAAATATCTCCAAGTTGAGTTATGGGAAAACTATAACCGGTGTGATTACGGTTTTTTTTGCTTAGGACTCACCATATTAGAAGATCTCCACTGAAGGATCTTTTCTCAGTGATCCATTCGGGTAGGAGCTCTAGCATTAGGTTTAGTTGTTCCTCCACCTCTCCTGCAAATTCAGAAAAGTTAGGACGGCTCTAAATGCTCCGAAATCTTTGTGAAGAAAGACATGATTGATCACTTTAGGAGTTGGGTGTAAGGAACTCACTTCTGTCGCAAATATCAGAATGGCCCGCGATAATCTTGTGCACAAGTTCCTCTTTCGTGATAACTGACCGCCTTATTGACTGGAATAAGAAATGAGTGACATCGAACAGTTTAGGCAGGCATGCGATCATTTTACAACGTCTTTTCGCCTGTGAGATTGCTGGATCTTGATCTTCTATTGCCTTCTTCTCTTGTTCTCGAATCTGAAAAGAGGAAAAATCAGATCATCCCTAAGAAAACCGATAAGAAGATAAGACTGGTCTATTGGGAGATTGACTGAAGAGATTCACTTTCCTCTAATTTCTAGTGAGCATTAAATCAACAAGCACAAAATGTAATTATAAGAGCATAAGTATTTTGAGATGTCTTACTGATTGTAAAAGGGTCTCGGGAAGAATACTGAGGATATCATCGTCGCTGGATGTACCTTCCTCTGATGCTTCATTAGTGACTTCATCATCTGCTACTTCCACAGCTTTCTTATCCTCCGTAAAGGGTTCAAAATTCAGTGGCCTTAATGCTGATGGGCGCCTCATGAGCTTATTCGGAGGGTTAGCAGAAGCATCATAAAGTCCGGCATGACCACTACTTCCTTTCAGTGGCTGTGCTGCTAGCAAGGCACTGGTCAACCGGGCAGGAGTTGAAGCAAGTTCGGGAGGAGTCGACACAACTTTAGCCGGTGTTGATGCAACTTTAGCCGGTGTCGAAACTACTGAGGTTGAATCTGCTTTAGCCGGTGTTGGAACCGGTTTAAGTGGAGTTGAAGTGGCTTGAGCCTGAAATGTTGTTTTAGCCGGAGTTGAAGCCATTTCTTCACTGGAAGAATTAACTTCCAATGGTTTAACCGTTGAAATGTAAGATCCCGATGTCTCGTTACTAGATACGTTAGCAGACAAGTTTCCTGGAGATAATGCAGATGCAGATATGGTTTTCTCATCAGAGGCCATTCTGTAGTTCTTCTGGGAAGACCAAGAAAGATTCGAAGATGCATGCTTTCCGAGCAAGGATGAACCTTCACTTTCTTTCTTTCTGTTAAATAATTCGGGCAACGGTTCTTCTGGAACTTCCTCGCCCTAAACAGAGAAAACACTATCAAGACTCAAGATCAATGTCACAAAGAACTAAATCAAAAGCCTTCTTTTACACATTACCGATACAAAAAAAGATGACAGGTCTTCCACAAACAGAACACTGGGCGTACCTGAGGGTGAGCTTTAACAAAATCTGCAAGTCTTGCACGGAAAATTGTCCGGAGGCTGCTGTGTTTGCTTTCTGATTTAGACTTTTCGGCACAAGGTATGGTGCCGGGGTTGATAGTGACATGAAGGTCGGGTTTCATGCAGCTAGTTTTCTCGTCGAGCATCAAAACTCTCTTAACCTCGATAGCCTCTGGCAAGATGTGCTTTAGCTGAGCCAAGTGGCTGTACAAAAACCTCCTGAAAGATTCAGAACAGATTGATATGAATTATTCCATTTCAAAGCAACAACACCAAAGTCTAGCTATATAATTATTTCCGAAAGGATCGAATTTGCTTCCCAATCACAATGATAGCTGATCTAATACTGTATCCTAACATAACTCTGCTAAACATTAAGCTGCCTTTTCTTCCCCCAAAATACACAAGAAAAACACCAGTAGTAGATCATGGATTACCTCTCAGTTAAATACTCAATTTTCGCAGAAATGTTGGAAAATGTTGGCATCGAACTCTTCAATTTCGATAATCGGATCGCGTTATCCATTCCATCGAAGAACTCAATCAGAATCTCGTACCTGGAAAAATCAAAATCGAATCAGCAAACCCCAATAAGAACAGACTGGGGAAAACGAAAAAAAAACTAACGCGATCTTACTTCTCCGGCAATTTTTCCTTCTCCGCATTCATCGTAGCAATTTTCACTTTAAAGGGCAACGAGGACGAGGAATCGTCGGGCGAAAACACAAGCTTGTTCTTAACGGATCTGGTCTCCCCGTTCGGATCCTCAGACCTGCGACGGGAATTAGCGGCTTGGCGAATCTCTTTCACGGAGAGAGCGACACCTCGGTTTTTCGATCGTGTGAGCATGCTTTCTGGCGGCTTCTCCGGCGTGGGTACATCCATGGACGGGGAATTAGGGTTTCTCCGCTCAGCCTTCGGACAGGGAGAATCCATCAGCCGTTTCTTCGATCGAAAAGGAATAGATCGAGAAGAACCCGGCGCGCTCATGTCCACTCTTTTTGCGTGTGTGTGTATGTGAGAGAGAGAGAGACGGCGCGAGGAAGAAGATGAAGACGAAGGGTTTTTGGTTTTATGAATGGCGGGAAATCCGAGCTGGATCTGACGTGGGCATATGCCACGTGCCACTCCCGCCAAATCTCCCCGTTGCTTCCCGCGGGTTTGAGATCGTCCTCCGTCTTTTGTTTGGAAACATTACTTGGCGGATCCAAGATGAGGATAGCGAAAACTCTCAAAACAAACATCCTCTTAAGCCCATCAGGCCCAGTAATAGGCCCAAGTTCGGATACGGTTCTGGATCCGGGTCGAACCGAATAAGCTGGTCGCTTTTCTACTCGGCGAAGGATTCGAGATTAAAAAAATCTTCAAAAAAAGAAGAAAAAGAAAAGAGCGAGCTTGAGAAGTGGTACTCGTTATCACGTTTCTTTGGTTAAGTTCTTCAAGCGCCGAGAAGAAATAGGATTAGGAAGAAGGAAACCCAATCGTCTCAGGAAGAAAAAAGAGAATAAAATATATGTAATTTCCCTTTTCTTCCACGCAACCTAAAATCCAAATCCCCTTCTCGCTCGCCATCTCTGATCGTCGATCAATTTGCTTGTCCTTTGAAGCCATCGATTGAATCCCCTTCTGTCGAATTTTCCCCCTCATTAGTTTGGTTTTCACTTTGCGAGAGATATTTGCTCTTGCTTGGTACGACTGAACTTCGCTTTCCCAACTTTTTCGCCACTTTCCGTTTCGTGGGTCGCGGTAAGTTTTGGTCTTTTCGTTGGTAATGATCGAGAAGTTCGAATTTTGATTATTGCTTAGTGATTTTGTGGAGAATCAGCTCGTGGGTCTGGAATTTACGTTGTTTGCGGTTGATTTTGGGTATTTGCTTTGGCGTCTAAATTGGGTAAAGAAGCGTATCGGTCCGAATTAGGTTGGTGGTAACCGTAGATACGGTACTGTTTGGGCGAAAAAGTTCGTTCCTTGTACTCCTTTTCGTGAATTACACGATCTGTTTAGGGGAATTCAGCTTTATGAGGTATATTCTTTGGGCACCGACTGCGTTGACATCGGTTTGGTGCCTGTCCTTCTCTCGATTGAATTATAATTATGTATGCATGCCCTGGTGCTCTTGTGTAGATATTTTTGTTGCAATGTGTCTAATTAGGAGATATTGATACGTGAATTTTCTGGTGAAGACGGGAGCAGGTTGGTAATCTGTATTCAGTCTTACTGTTCTAGTTCACCTGGTATCTGCTAACTCAACTCTACCCATGGCAAACTTACTCCTTATCACATTGTCCTTGTAATTGAAGCATAGATTGCGGCAATATATTGACGTATAGATGGAATAGTAATTTGGGTACTAAGCGTAGTAAAGGTGTCTCTTTTACAGTAACTGTAACTGATATCTGGCAATGTACACAAACACCTCTACCGTAGTTATTTCCCTTGTTTCTTGTCCTTATATGATTGGCTTTCTGCTTTTACATGGTGCAGGACTCGTGTACTGTGATTGACAGAATTGTCTGCTCCTCTTTTGAGTGCTATACTCCTAAAACTTTGACGTGGTGATTGGGGGAATGGACTGGTTGTTTTGGCTAATTGTCAGTGTTTATGAATGATGTACACTGGGCAAAAGGCTCTAAATCTGTTCAGATGTTTCAAATGGAAACAACGTGGTGAATCGTCATCTTTGACTACTGGCTTACTTCATAATGTGTCTAATGAGGTTGAGCTTTCTAACTATGGAGGAATACCAAGTCCTGGTAGTGAGAGTCCTTCAGGCCTTCTTAATGGAGAAAGCTTGAGTGTTGAACCTATTGCTGATTTGGATCTCTTCTTCGAAAGGCTCTACAGCTATTATTGTGACAAAGGAATTTGGTGCATTATAATAAAGTGGGCTGTTGAACTTCTTAGCATTGGCTTCACCATATGCTTCTCAGGGTTTTTCTTGTTGTATGTGAACTGGGATGGCCTTCGAAATGCAAAATGTGGACTGGATGCTTTTGAATCAGGAACCAAGCCATGTGATCTTGTTAAAGAAGCTCTATATCAGCATCCCTTATCCCCTTTTACGCTTAGAAAGGCGATAATTGTCGGTTATTTGATTCTTTTCTCTATATACTGGATCTTCTGCTTCTTGAGGTTTTTTGCTCAGTTGAAGGATACTTTGGGCATTCGTCACTTTTATTATAATAGGTACGTTGGAAGGGTTTACACGTTAGACATAGTTATTGTCACGGACCAAAAGTTTCAGTTTACATTATGTTTTCTTTTTGTTTTAATTTTGCAGCCTCCATGTCACTGACAATGAAATCCAGACCATGCCTTGGGCAACAGTCCTTGAAAAGGTTGTTCAGTTACAACGTTCAGAACCCCTTTGTGTGGTTAAGGATCTATCAGCTCATGATATCGTTATGCGCCTCATGCGGAAGGAAAACTACTTGATTGGAATGCTCAACAAAGGTGTGCTTTCTTTCCCAAACTCCTATTGGATCCCAGGTGCTGGTCCAATCATCAAATCTGCACCAGATGGGACACCGTATCGCCTTGTATTGACAAAAACCCTTGAATGGACCCTTAATTGGTGCATACTGCAGAGCATGTTTGATCGGTATGGTATTTTCCAGGCTATCTTTGGTCTAATAGTGGACTTGTCCCATTGTATGGTTATGCATCAAAATTCCTCTACCTTCAGTTTTTAAATGTATTGATCTCTTGAGGCTTGGAAGTAGTATACTGAACTCATTCCATTGTATGTTGGATTTAGGCTGGTATTGTACTTCTCAATTATAACTTTTACTCTGAAATGTATACCATACAACAGTCCCTTGCATATGATAAGGATTCTATGTTTTTTTTTCTAATACAGAAGTGTTCATTCTGCAGGAACTTCCGGGTAAGGAGGGAGTTTGTTTCGAATCCTAGAACTTTGAAGAAACGGCTGTTCGTGGTGGGGCTCGCAATGCTTCTTCTGTCGCCATTCCTTGTCATCTTTATGTTAGTGTATCTATTCCTAAAGCATGCTGAGCAGTTCTACAATCATCCAAGTACTGCATCTTCTCGAAGATGGTCCAATTTGTCAAAGTGGCTCTTCAGGGAATTCAACGAGGTACATATATTATACTTCAAAACGCTGAGATTATGTGATTTTACCTTCATCTGGCCTTTGTACCCGAAAGCTAAGACTGAAATTTCTCATGAATGTTGAAGAGTATTATTAAGCTTTCTAGGGAAGCTTAAGGAACATACAGTTTTTCTTAATCTCTGTGGCACATTTTGACTGCTTGTTTCTATGACAGGTTGATCATTTATTCAAGCACCGGATTAATAGCAGTATAGTGCATGCTTCAGAATATTTAAAGCAATTCCCGTCGCCGATCATCTCCATTGTTGCAAAGTTCATTTCATTTGTTTCCGGCGGCTTTACTGCTGTCTTAATCATCATTGCATTTTTCCAAGAAGATCTTCTCGAGGGCCATGTAAGAATCCCTGGCAACTTAAAGACACTTATATTTGTACGCCATGAGCCATTTTCTTATGGATCACCAACTATTATTTCCCATGTGTAGATACTGGGACGCAACCTCTTTTGGTATGCTGCTGTTTTTGGAGCTATTACAGCTATTAGCCGAGCTGCCATTTCAGATGAACTTTTGGTCCTTGACCCGGTAGGAACTATGTCTTTAGTTGTCCAACACACCCATTATATGCCTAAGAGATGGCGTGGTAAGGAAAACACAGACTGTGTCCGCATGGAGTTTGAGACTCTGTTTCAGGTAACATTTTAAATTCCTCATTTTTTTTCCCTCTTCTGAAGCTACTGGGATTGCCAAATCTTGAAACCAAAGGCAGATTGTATGCATCAGAACATACTTCAGTGTTTCTTGTTCTTTATATAAGAACGCAGTGGCATTCAACATAATCTTATTTCTCTTGTTGGTCCTTGCCTACTTGCTGAACAAATAGCTGTGTATTCCTTAATCCTTTTGTAAATTTTGCGATGCAGTATACTGGAATGATGTTACTGGAGGAGACAGCTTCGATCTTCCTTACACCGTTTTTGCTTATGTTTGTTGTACCGAAGGTTTATTTCTCATCGTTCTTTATTATTATCCCTGCAACCTATTAAATTTTCAGCACCTCGTTGGTAATTGAACGACGATCTGAAACATTTTAGTTTATTCTGCAGAGGGTCGATGACATACTGCAATTCATTGGAGACTTCACTGTTGACATTGAAGGTGTAGGTCATGTTTGCAGGTTAATCAACTCTTGCTATTCTTCTTTTCTCCATGGATGGCTTTAAAAGATTGATGATAAATAAATAATTGTGAGTTAATTCCTCGGTGATCAATATTTGAACGATATTGATCATCATTCTTTCTTCTCGCAGTTTTAGTGCATTTGACTTTGAGCACCATGGAAATGTCAAGTATGGTTCACCGCACGATGTACCTCGTGAGCAGAGAAGCTCTCAGGGAAAAATGGAGAAATCGTTCTTGAGGTCGGTGGCATCATCAAAATTCTTCTTGCAACATCTAAAATATTCAGTTATGACATGTGACATGTCTTAAACAACCAGTCCACTCGATCTGTTTGCAGCTTCCAGTGTAGCTATCCTTCATGGGAACCAACTTCTGAAGGGAAGGAGTTTCTGTCAAAACTCCGAACTTTCCGGAACCAGAAGCTTCAGGTTTTGAACACGAGATTTGGGTGTTCTTCTGATCGAGCATGGCGAGAAGGCCTTTCTCTTCGTGGTTGGATAGACAGAGAAATTCCAAGAAACATGCCTCCTCCTACGAGAGGTTACCACACTGATTCCTTGTGGCTGATGGATCCTGACCAGAGGAACCATCCTTATCTTCTTGACTGGTATTACACTTCTCAGCCTCAAGGAAGAACCACTTCCCCAGGGCACAATTACCCGGCAGAGGATGAGACATTGCCTGCGAATCTAGATACCGGAAGAGAATTCTGGTCATCTCCGAACTTAGGCCAAGAAGAGACCAGATTTAACACCGGCTTTTCCTGGGAAACCCGGCTCAATGATAACAGAGAGCTTTCTGGCATGGAGACAACCACATCGGGCCAGTTCTTTCCCGAGAGCATTCTGCGTCATCCACACGAGGGGGTTACTTATGGAAATACTGCTGCTGGTAGGAGCAATTGGTGGGACAGAGGTGGTCGGTCCCATGGTTCGGGTCACCAAGAAACAAGCTTTATGGAGCCACCCGATTTCCTCCGCCCTTACCCTTCCAGAAACTTGTTCGAGAACTTATCAGACAGGAGCATGGGAGAGGAGGAGACAGAACGAGAGCAGTTCTTTGACTGGGAAAGTGCCAGAAGAAGATTGTCTGAAACAGCATACATGGATGATGACATTGAAGCTGGCATGAATCTCCATTTCGACGATGTGTATAGTTCCAGACCTCCAGAAACTTCTCCAACGCTAAGTCCTCGCCAACCGACAAGATTCGGTTAAATATTGGAACTGAATCCTGGATAAGGTTTCTGGTGAAGAAATGGGCCATGCATGCACGCATGCAAGTTTCTCCGAATTGGGAATGAACATGTTTTTATTTCTACGCTTCAACGGTACATGCAATTCTTTGTTGTATATATATATAATATATAAGGATTATTATCAGGTCCGTTGGTTTAAGAAGGCAATGGAAAGTGCCTTGTGGAACAAGTAAACATACAATACAAAATCTGAGTAATATGTCCTGAAAGTTGCAGAGATTAACTTGAAAGCCTTATTATTTAAAAAGTTTTACGTACAAAAACATGTTACATTTATTGAATGTTGTGATTTATTTTTATTTTTCCATGTTACGTTAACAATGTCACCATCGTCATTATTCGTGTGATTCGGTCGTTCGAGGCACCGGACCGATGCATCTCTCTTACATCTCTTTCCTAATCAAACATTCTTGCAATAACAGGTCAACAATTGCAAAGATTGCTTGTGATCATTGGTTATAAATAATTATTTATTATATATATATATATATATATATGACAACTACATGTTTGGTTTCAACTATAGTGTTAGATTCAGTTAATTAACGCCCACCACCGGTCAATGCCATAATAATACTATTGTTTTCCTCTCATGCTACGTGCGATATTTAAATCTTTTTATATGTTTTTATTCGAAAAGAGCGTTTTGAGTCACGAAACAAATTTTATCACGTGCCATAAAAAAGAAGATTCATGCACTTTCCTTTCCCCTGTCTGAATAACTGGAAAAAAAATGTATATGTTTTATATTCGTCACTGACTAAGAAATTGTCAAACTTTCTATTATTGTAATAACATAATCCAACTAAAAGAACGTTCTAGATTTTACCAAGAAAAAGTAAAATAAAATAAAATATAGGGAACATAACGCTTTAGAATTCATGCATCTATGAAATCCATTGAGAATTCGGATCACTGTATGATAATATTATATATGTATGTGTGCATATATATTGATAATTATATAATTATATAATGTGTTGGATGATTATTTATGAGATGTCTGTTCTTATATATGTTACAGCTCATAACATCACGTGCAGATATAAATTCAGTTTTGAGTCTTTCAAAACCAAATATGAACAATTAACAAACAAAAAAAAAACAAATATGAAAAACGATTCAGAAAGCCATCATATATTAAAAATATAAAAAATCAAGACCATATATTCAAACCGCCCGGTTGAACAGAATCGGCCTAACAAAGGGATCGCTAGCTGGTCCAACATTTACAAGATTTTTTTTTATATTTATTGAGAATCTATTTCAAACCCAAATTGAAAATAATAAGGGGGGAAAATTATTTATATAAAAAAAATATCCCAAATAGACCCCATGGGATGCTTTCTTGCAAGTTGGAATTAGTGGATTTTTTTATTTAATCTCTATGATGAATGAAATATGTATCGGTAACAATATATTTCATGTGTTTAATATATGACCAAACTGTTGAAATTATTTTATACTAAGATATTGACCTATGAAAACGTAGAGCACATATATATAACTGCACTAATATCAGCTACTTTTTTGTAATATAAAATTATATTCAGGCTTGCCAAGTTGATTGATTAATATTACTCACTCCAATTTAATAATACAACTGGTTTGATTTTGTGGAGTTTTTTAAAATGCACTAAACATATTATATTATTTAATCAATCAATAACTTATCACAATTTTCGCTTATCATACTTTTCCATTCCCTTATCTTGGATAAACAATAGTTGTATATTTGAACTATATACATATTATTTTTATTTTTTAATCTATAAAATTTATATTTATTAAGTATAAGTTCGGTATCTATTTTTCATTATTCAAATCGATTTTTCTATTTTCATTCGATTCAGTTTTTATATAATCTACTTCGATTTAATTAGTTTGATATTACAATAATTATATTAAATAAAATTCGAGATAAATTTATTTTAGACATAATTTTAGGGTTTAAAATTTATTATTAAAAATCAAGTTTAAATATCTCATTTAATTTAAATGCATAATACTAATAAATTCGTGTGTTCAATAGCTAAGAGTTAGTTAAGATATGTCAGAAAGTGTGATAAAAAAAATGAAAAATAAAAAATGCATGAGGAATGAATTGTTCATTGCAATTTGCACCATCTCTCGCATTTACATGCACACGCATTTCAATATTGACACTTGTTATTATTATTATGCGTAATTCCAACGATAAATTATATATTCGTTCGTGTAGTCAATTATCAAAACCCTGGCTAAAATAAATAAATTATATTATCCACAAATTAAATCTATACGTTGCCTGGTTTGACAGCGAATCTTTTGATTTTATAGGAAACAAACATATATTATTAATAAAATAAAAATATGTTTTTTATTTTGCTTCAAATGCAAATGATTTTTTAAAACTTAATTTGTTTGTGTTTAGTAATGTTCACACAAAATAATCCCATTTTATATCGTAATGATCAAATTTTTATAGAAAATTCTGCCATGTTTCTATTTTTTGCAAAAGATGACCATCTCTAATCGTTTGATAAGATGTTCCCAAACTTAATTTTGTCTAATATGTAACGAAATTTTCAATATTTAATTAATTGATAGTGATTTGGTGATATCTCACCTAATTAATATTTTATGGCATTAGTTTAAATTAAACTAAAACATAACTAAATTAGATGATTATTTTGCTAATTAAAAAAATTTATACGATATTTTAAATTCTAAAATTAGAATTAGCACATCTTCTGTTCAACACATACAATTATATATAAAAAAAAATTCGAGATTTACATGTCCCCATCCAAAATAATATTTTTTACACTTATCAAGGCTATGGTTTGGTTGGGGCAAAATTGAAATTTTCACATAAATTCAAGATTCGTCGACGGGAGAATATTCAGAAAATATTCGTCGGGGGACTATTTTGCTCGGACTTGCTATATTCTTTCCCCCGATCATTGTCTAATGTGCATACAAAATCGTACGAAGTATTATTAATTATGTTAATCAATTTCTAATTTTAATTAGTTGTTACACTCTTATGGAGTATAGGCCGCCCACGTCACTTGTCGGGATACATTATTCATAATTATGTATCATTACAATTTACACATATACATATATGTCTATATATATGATGTGACATGATTTCTATATATATAACGATATGTGTGTGTTGCTCACGTCCGTTCCCAAAAGTACAAATGTTATTCATATGAAATGTTATATCCATGTGTTATTTTTATTTCCATGTAATTTTTTGCTTTAAAAAATACGCCATTCTCCACTCCATTTTTTCAGTTTTTCGTGGAAAATTAACATATATATATATATATATATAATATGAAATGATAATATTCCAAAAATTTGGGATCGACAAGTTTCTGAGTGTAAATAAATCTCAGAACTTATAACGTTTGAAAATGGTAAAAAAAACAATTGCTTTCATTTAAAAAGTGGAAATATATATTTATATATCAATATGAGAACAGGAGTTATAACTAATATTTAAGAAATCAAATATCCGCGAAGATGGTAAAACACGTACGTGGAGTAGAGTCTGGCAAATCTTACACAACGACATTATCTAAATGCAATATCAACGAAGCCTCATATAGAATCCAACTAATATGGACTTAAAATTAAATATACATATATATAATATAATATGTGCATTTTTGTTTCAACTAATTGTTAATTATATTTTGCCGAATATCTCTAACATACAATAACTCGAAATGTTTCCTCAGTACTGTTATTGATAGTTTATGTCTACGACTATTAGTGCCGTGATATAGTAATTCAAATATATATATATATATATGTGTATTCATTTATTTATATAGTTTGATTAATTTTGGTAATAATGTACGATTCCCTCGACCCTCTGGCAAGTTCTCGACCAGAGACAGTGGGTCCCACAATAGGAACATCGAGGTGACAATCAGTGCCATGTCATCAGCTTACGTCAGATACTTTGTCGGGATCTCGCCGCCGTACGTCATTCCAAACGATTGTGTTGACCCACGTGGTAAATCAATCACCTCGCTGCTTTTCATTCGTTAGCTAGAGAGCCTATTACCATCTTGGATTTTCTTTATAATATCTCTAATTACATCCAATTATTAAATTTGAAAATTACATATCGCCCATTATCCATAGGCCCCACACACAATATTAAATAAACAGTTAAATTATTTTTATATTTCCCACTTTCGAATAATCCAATCTCATTTAATGCCTTATATATATAGGTTAGGTTTTTCAAACTTTTTTGCCACTGCCTAAAAAATCCAAGAGAAAAAAAAAAGAAAAAAAGAAAGAAAGGAAAAAACCGATGGTGTTTCCCAATTACCAAAGTCAAGATTTCTCCCCTGAATCATCTTCTTCCGGATCTTGGAGCTCACAAGAATCATCATTCTTTTGGAGCGATGAGTTCTTCGATCGAGAACCCGAGTTCTTCTTCCCAAACCCTAACTACTACCAGGAGATCAATCTCAAGAATGAGGAGGAGACGTTGGTAATGGTGATCAAAGGAGAAGAAAACGGAGAAACATTATCGAATCCGGAGACCGTATCGAGGGATCCGAAGGAGGAGGAGAAATCGTACAGAGGAGTGAGGAGACGCCCGTGGGGCAAATACGCGGCGGAGATAAGGGATTCGACGAGGAACGGAATTAGGGTTTGGCTGGGAACGTTCGACAGCGCGGAAGAAGCGGCTTTAGCGTACGATCAGGCGGCCTTTGCCCTAAAAGGGGTCCTGGCTGTATTGAATTTCCCGGTCGAAACGGTCAGAGAATCTCTACAAAACATGAAAAATGTGGATCTCAGCGATGGAGGGTCCCCTGTCATGGCCTTGAAGCGAAAGCATTCGCTTCGAAATCGGCCGAAAGGGAAAAGAAGAAGATCATCCTCGTCGTCGTTGCAGATGCGGAAAGAGACGATCAAGGAAGAAGAAATCAGTAGAAGTAGTAGTACACTTGTTGTTCTTGAGGATTTGGGACCAGAGTACTTAGAACAGCTTCTCATGAGTTCCTGTAACTGATTAGATGTCCGTCTTCCACTTTTGATTTATTCAGTTTGTGTAATAATAATTGTTTTTTTGTTTGGGTTTGTAATTGATTCTTTCCAATAACGAAGTTATTTGGGAGATATATATATATATATCGATGTTGATGTTGATGTTGTGAGTGTTAACTCTATTATTGGGGAATATTACTCAAATAACCCACTTGGGTCGCAGCAATTTCAGTGTACACCACCGAAAAAAAAAAAAAATTTTGCGACCTTATTACGACTAATATATAACTAATATACAACCTATTACGACTAACAAACTACTCTTATTTTAGTTGTATATTAGTTATATATTAGTCGTAATAAGGTCGCAAAATTTTTTTTTTTTCTGGGTGGTGTACCCTGAAATTGCTGCGACCCAAGTGGGTTATTAGGGTTAAAATCCCCTATTATTGCCTTTGTTTGCTTTCTTTTCGATGTCTCTATTGGTTGGTTCCATTCACGGACTAAATGTTTTGATATTTATCCGAAATGGATTCCCATGTCACTATATTGCCTTTTAAAGTAAAATCGATATTTTATTTTTTATATATTGCTTTTATTTCTATATATAAGCTTTTAATTAATTAGTAAATCTTAATGAGCATCAAACCAAGAAATAAGAAAGGAAGAAACCGGGATGGTATTTGTTGTTGAAGAAATCCTTTATTCATAGCACCAAGGGTCGAGGCTTTTGAAAAGGATTGGAAAATCAAACCATTTTATATCTCCATACAATAGTTTATGATATCTAAAAATACCTATATATATATATATATATATATATATTCAGTAATAACAATGCAACCACCCTAACGGGTGACACTAATATTAAAAATTCATTTATATAAAATTAAAAATATCAGTATTAATTTTAAATATAATTCTTCATCTTGAACGTTTTGTTTAAGAAAGGTGCGCAAACAAAAGAATAAATAAAATTTGATTATCGGTGAGAAGAAGACACAAAGTGTATGTCTTGTCACGAATTTAAACCTTAGATTATGAAAGAAAACGTATATTCTAATCACATCGTTTATTTCTATTTCTAGGGTTAGTATGTATATTGGCACAACACATCATATAACCAAAAAAAAAAGGTTTGATTATCAAAAACTGTTTTCTTTTATCCACGTCCGTACAACATTAATTCGGTACATCACACAACTTGAACACATGTGGGTTCATCTATGTCTATGCAGTGTGTGTGTGTAATGAATTCATAATCTTTGTTAATAATAGAAAGTCGATTTGCATATGCTTTTGGACTATATTGTGAAAACGGTTGAGAGAATTTAATAACGGTCCTACCGATATGAAATGAAATTCAATGAACCAAAGTCTTCAGAGTCAGTAAGGATTCTAAGTCCAAATACGTTCATAACATACTGTATCCGTACATCTCTATCCTCTTCCCGGAACCAATTTTGGTAAACTGCAAGCCGTCAAAATATACGTAAATACGATTGCCATTTGCCACAATTTATTAACAGTATGGAATGAACAGAAATGGAACATAAGCACTGATTCAACTCCCAACACATCCCACGTTGTCCAATGATTGATTATTCATTACATTCGTCCGTTACTAGATATCGTTTTGCTCTTGCCAAGAGCTCTCGGCTCAGTTTGCTCGCTCGCGTAGCACGTCGAGGTCGACTTCTGTAGGGTCGGTGGCTTGGATCTCGTAGTGAATGCCCTCCAGCTCCCGCCTGAACCTGTCCTTCGAGGTTGCGTATAGCATCTTTGCCCTTATCCGAGACGTCGAGGGAGACCTGCCATCATCAAAACCTGACGTGAATCTGAAAGTTCTCGAAAACAAAGATCGATGGAACGAAAACGGAACTTTAGACGAGTAATGGGTACCCTTTAGAAACAATAAATGTTCAAGAACAGAGGCAGTTTCGAGTGTTTTTACTGGAAGATCAATAAACCCGAAAAGAAAACAGCAGAGCCAGTTCCAAGTTCCAACCTTTTTGGGTTTCATCATCATCTTGTACAAGGTAATCAATCCACTTTTGTGTAACAGCATTGCTGGTAAGATGATATATCATTCTTGGAAGTAAAGAGGGGAAAAACAAGAAAAAGAAACTAACCAAGCGACGAAGAAGATCTTGCTCTTCTGGCAATTCTCGGGGGTAACGAAATCGTAGTCATAAACAGCGTATCTGCAGTCGTTCTCGGGCAAAGAAGCAAGGAAATCGTCGTAGTTCTCAGCAGGGCTGCCGGTTTTTTCCACCACCACCTCCTTTTTGTTCTCATCAATCTTAAAGACGACGTACCGGTGGACTTTCTTCCTCTGCAGCTCACGGAATATGGACTTGCTGTTGTCTGCAACGCCCATTCCAGACGATGCATTGGGCTGCAGGAAACAATTGCTTAATTAGTTCAACCAAGAACCCTAATTCAAGAAACTTTTACAGATTTCCCACGTATCAGCTCAACTATAATTCAAGAACTTGTTTGCCTACCAACAAGGGAATCGGCCAGACACTAACCCATATAAACCATGAAACAGCTACGATGAACATCGATTAAGGATTTGAGTTACAAATATCAACTCCCATCTGAATCAATAGAATCACAGTCGCCATCTATTTTCAAGGCTCCGAATTTGGACCCTAAGTTCCTTCACTTGATCTTCTAAACTGTGATGCGGCAGCAGTGAGAAATGGTAGTTCATTTGACACAATCTTTGCTCTTAAAGTAAGAACAAATCACATCATTATTCCATAATACACTAAAAGAACGAAGCTTTATTTCGAAATTGAACCGGGAAATAAAGCCCAAGTGTCCTACATTTGCCAGAAAGTACAAATTATGATCCGATTCATGCATGTATTAACAGATCAATCAATCTCTCCCCCTCCTTTTGGGTTTCTAGCGTTACTACAAACTTCAAGCACAGAAATTCGCAATTTCCAACGAGAAAGAGAGATGCCAAGAACAATACCCACAAAGAAACAAAAAAGGAAATCTGAGAAACAGGGAAGAACTGAGAGCCCAGAGATCAAAAATAGAGAGGCTTTTACCCTGCTAAGTCCTCTGAAAGACATGGACTTTTCTTCTTCTTCTACGACAAGGCGAGAGCTTGCTGAGAAAATCGTAGACGCAGGAAGAAATTGAAACAAACCCTTCGGTTTAAACGAAGAGAGGAAGAGAACAAGGGAACAAACAGGAAATTTCAAAAATAATATGTGGACATCAAAGACGTTGCTTTGCTTTTGTTCTCTGTGGACCCTCTTTATATATATGTGTGTATATACATTTTGAACACCGAAAGAGAAGAATAGGGGCGGTGGCGTTAGGGCAACGCGAAACTGCTTTTAGGAGATGTTGACTCAGAATTTCGTGACAAGTGGAAGATAACTCGTGTCTCTGTTATGTGGGCCCCACTTATGTTTAACACTAGTCGCCGCGTATACTTTATGGGCCGTATCTTGGGCCCATTATTTGGGCCTTAATTGGGTCGAGACGACGGAGAGCGGTT